ACTTTGTAGAAATTGTTTATTTCATGGTCATTATATTTCATCAAATACAGAAAACAGAAAAACACCAATGGTATGTATAAGTATTTAGTAACACTTTCGATTAATCTCACATCTACAAAGTACGGGCGAGATTCATAGGTCATAAGAAACAATCTGATTTCATTGTATTGATTGAGCAAAATGTATTATGAAAATTTATTGTAATGATTAAAACACTATGCAAAACTTTTGGAGGGATAGCTATTTCATGATTAAGACACTATGTAAAGTTTATGAAGGGATAATCATTTCTTATACAGCGATTAGACAAACAAATTAAATCAGTCTACGTAGTATAAGTTTGAACGAAAGTTTCTTTACTATTAACAAAACTGTTAAACTCATCAATGAAACGTACAAGTATGTAGTAACACTATAGATAAATCTCACATTTACAAAGTACGTTCGAGATTCATAGGTCATAAGAAACAATTTAATTTCAGTGTATTAATTGAGCAAAATGTATTACGGATTTATTTTTTGTAATGATTAAGACAGTATCTAAAATATATGGAGGGATATCTATTTCATGATTAAGATACTAAGTAAAGTTTATGAGGGGATAATCATTTCTTATGTATCAATTAAATAAAAAATTAAATAAATCTAACGAAAGTTCCTTTAATATTAACAAACATATTGAGTAATTCTATCCTAATATAAGTTTGAGTGAAATTCCTTTACTATTCACTATATTGTTGACCATATGATCAATTTGCTATACGCAAAGGTTCTGTAAAGTTTTTTTTTATATTACCGTTTAATCAATGTGATATTTTCATAACATATTTATTTTAATATTAGTTAAAAAAATAATTCATTAAACCTTGAGGTATCTATACAAAATATTTTGTTGATTATTTTCTTTAACTAAATCATTAAATGATAATCAGTTTTCTTGCGCAGCGAAGCGCGGGCCAAAAAAATAGTTTTAGTAAAAAAAAGAACACCCCAAATTAGGACTTATGATTTGTTTTCTACCTTTTCTATGAGGTGTCTGGTTTATTTTATAAGTTTTATGGCGTGGTTTGTTGTTTTTTATGTATGCTCTGAGTTTCTTTAGTATGTCTCATGATACTTGTAATAAATTTTACGGATTTTATGGTGTGTTACTTGAAACTTGTGGACATTTTTGAGTTTTCTCATCTACTTTATGAGTTTTGTGGGGTAGTGAGTTTCTGGTTTGCTTTTATGAGATTTATGGTTTACTTTACGAATGTGGTGCAGTTTGTCGTGTTTCTAGTCTATTTATGAGTTTTTTTGTTTGTTTCATGGTACTTTTGGTAAGCTTTGCGAGTTTTATTGACCTTACTTGGAAAACTTGTGGTAAACTTTATGAGTTTTACTGTGTGGTGTGTTTATGGTTTGATGAGCTTCTGGTATGCTTTATGAAGTTCTGGTTTACTATATTTTTTTTGTGGTGTAGTTTGTAGTATTATTGGTCCGATTCATGATACTTGTGATTTACACGCGTGTTGCTCTGATAATTTTTTTTTATGAATAAGTTGCTTTATTCATCAAGGAAGAGGGTTTTTTCATGAAAAACCCCACTAATTGGAACCCAAGTAACACAATTACAGAAGAAGAGACCAAAGTCCAACAGCACAAAACCAAAGAAGAGTAAAACCAGCCTACCAAACTACACTATACTGTTTACATAATCCTCTGAAATAGCAAGCTCCACTGGAGGGAAGCCGTTCGTAAGCAGTCGCAGCAATCCTTGCAGCTTCCTAAGAATCTGGCTTTCCGACAGCATCTCACCAGACATAACTCTTCTGCATCTTTCTCTCCAAAGCTCAGCCACCACCATCACCCATAGAAGTCTGCCATGATCAGATGTAGTGCAGTTTAGGCGAAAGAGAGAAATGGCGATTGCCAAAGACCCCTCCCAGTTAGCCCCCACCATGTTTCTTCCTGCAAACACAACCTGCAATACACACTGAGAGTAGGGACACTCAAAGAAGAGGTGATCCCTTGACTCTGCCACAGAGGAGCATAATGGGAAGACATTAATCACTAAGTTATTCCACCTCTGCACCTTATATAGAGTGGAGATTCTATTCAAAATGACTAACCAGACCAGAAGTTTGTCTCTAAGGGTCCCAAATGACTTCCAAATCAAAGAATACCAGTGAACTTTCTCATACTTAACACGAATTGTTTCCCAAACTTTTTTGACTGAGAATTTGTCCATCACACAATCATCCCAATACACTCCCGCAGATCGTACTATAAGATGCTGAGGTATTTTTGTCCTTATTTTCAGGACCTTCCTCCAGGCCCATGAACATGGTATGGAAGTAGGTATATCCCAAATGGAGGTGTAGGTAAGCTGATAGTGTCTTACCCAATTTGCCCATAGGGAAGAAGAATTTGATGATATGGCCCAGAGATGCCTAACCAGGCACGCCATGTTCCAGCTTCTAAGGTCCTTAAAGTCTAATCCACCCTCCTTCTCAGGCCTAGCTACCACCTTCCAAAGAACCTTTGCTCTTTTTCCCTCTTCCTCTGAGCTCCATAAGAAGTCAGAGCAATCTTTTTCAATCAACTTTAGCACCTTGACTGGGAGCTGAATGATCCCCATCCAATACTAAGTGATACTGTAAATGACAGCAGAGATGAGCTGCAATTTACCAGCATAAGACAAGGTTTTCACCTTCCAGCCTCTGATTCTTGCAGTTATCTTTTCTACCAAAGCAAGGTAGTCTGCATTATTCAGTTTCCCAGCAATGAGAGGAATCCCCAGATATCTCACAGGAAGCTGCCCTATGGCAAAACCAGTACTGGAAGAAATTAGAGCCTGAACATTAGGTTCCACTCCTCCACAGAATACTTCAATCTTAGCAGGATTACATCTCAACCTAGACACAATATAGAAGGCATCCAAAATTGCCTTTGCTTTCCCCACATCCTCTAGAGTCCCCTTTGTGAAAACCAAAAGGTCATCAGCAAATCACAGGTGGGAGAGCCCTATTCTGTGAGTTTGTGGGTGAGGAGGGAGGGACTTAATAGCATAAGCCCTATTAAACATACAAGATAGAACCTCCATGGCAATTGTAAATAGATAGGGAGAAAGGGGATCTCCTTGCCTCAGCCCCTTCTGAGCAGAAAAGTAACCACATAGTCCGCCATTAAGGCAAACTTCAATCCATTGTATGAATTGAGCAGGGATTTTCATAGCTTCCATTACTGTTTTTAAGTAACACCATTCTACACTATCAAATGCCTTCATCACATCCACTTTTAGGGCACATCTAGGGGAGATAGACTTCCTATTGTATAACCTCACCATCTCATGGGCCAGTAGGACATTATCACTAATTAACCTCCCCTTAATAAAAGCAGATTGGTTCTGACTAATGACTACAGGGAGCACTTTTTTCAGCCTATTTGCAAGTACCTTAGCAATACACTTATACAGTATATTGCAACATGAAATTGGTCTGAATTGCTTCATACAGTCAGCATTTTGCACCTTAGGAATGAGAGCCAAGTAGGTAGAATTTACCTTTGCAAGAAGTTTCCCTGTCCTGAAGAAATCCAAGATTGCATCAGTGAGGTCCTTACCCAAAATCTCCCAGTTATGTTGGAAAAACCCAGCTGTGAAGCCATATGGTCCAGGAGATTTATCTCCATTCATAGAAAATAGAGCTGTTCTCACTTCTTCTCCAGAAACTGGACAACAAAGAGGAGCAGCTTGCTCAGGAGAGAGAGAATGGACCAAAAGTTGTGAGATCAGGTCACTGCTCACTCTCTGAACCTCTGGATTCTTGGTACCCAGTAGATTCTGATAAAATCTAACTGCTTCCTCACTCATCTCCTTAGCATCAGTTAGGGCAGTACCTTCATCTGAGATAATTTTTTTTTATGGTTGAGCGAGCTTGTCGAGCTTTAACATAGTTATGGAAAAAGGAAGTGTTTAAATCCCCTGTTTTAACCCAAAGAAGTCGAGACTTTTGCCTATAGATAGTATTTTCTTCCTTAAGAAGTCCAAATAGTCTAAGCTGGCAGTCATTTACTTTTTGGAAAGACTTAGGAGAAGGCTGCTGGAGAGCCTCTATCTGCAACCCTTCAACTTCACAACGAGCAAGTCGAACTCTATCTGAAATGTCTGAATAGGATGATCTATTCAACTTTTTCAACTTTCTCTTAACCTCTCTCCACTTTTGACATACTATGAACATAACAGTCCCCCTGAACTGCTTGCTCCAGGCCTCTTGTACAATCTGTTTATATTAAGGATGGGTTTCCCAGCAGCTGAAATACTTGAAAGGCTTGGGTAGAGAATAAATATGGATATCAGTATTCATTAGCAACCCACAGTGATCCGAAAGTCTTGGAGGAAGAAGGTTAACTGCATAATTTGGGAACACAGTTAACCAACTGGAATTCACCAGGACCCTATCTATCCTCCTAGATATAGGATTCCCCTCCTGCCTATTAGTCCAAGAAAACCAAGGACCCTCAAAAGCACTCTCCTCCAACTCCATACGAACTATCCATTCATCAAAATCTACCATACTTTGTGAACTGACTGGATTATTTGAGGCCTCATTTACACTTCTTACTGCATTGAAATCTCCTCACACTACCCAAGGCAGATTGTCAGGTTTAAGCACAAGATGATGGAATAGACTTCGTCTGGTGCCTTCATCATTTGAACCATACACAAATGTGATCTTCACATTCTTGTCTCCCCTAACCACTCCATGTATGAATTGCTCTGATTTCTCCAACACAGTAAAATCCAAATCTCTTTTCCAAAAGATCCACAACCTACCTAATACTGAATGCTCATAGTTATGAACATACTCCCATCTGCCAAACTTCAAATCCACTATCTCTTTAGATTTTCCTTCCTTCACCCTGGTTTCAAGAACTCCAAATACATTGACATTTACTCTACTAACTACTTCTAAAATCTGACTCTGCTTGTCGGGGTGATTAAATCCCCTAATATTCCAAGCTAGCACCTTTTTTTTTAGGGTTTGGCAGGCCTGCCTGGCTCCTTCTTACCTTGCTTCCCTTTCCCCTTTCCACCTCCCTCCAATACAGGAAATTCATCCAGATTTTGGAGAACCGGGCTACTTACTACAATATTCCCAACTTCAAAAGAATCCACAGCTAAACTCTGATACCTATTTGCTACATGTGTGATAGAACTTTCCCATGCAGAAGGAGAGCTTTGTCCTATCATAACTGTCTGAAGCTCACTCTCAGTTGGCAACTCCACAGATCCTGACCTTTGCCATTCAGTTAGAACCCCCTGCTCAATAGACTTGACCAAGTTTGCCACAACCAGATTCAAGTTTCGACAAGCTGCTTCAGCAGACTCTTGAGCCTTGCCCTTCGAAGCCAGGATAGAATCCAGAATCAATTGACCTGCATTTCCAGTAGTAGCCTCCACACCTTCAGTCTCAGCTTTCTTTTGACTACCCTGATCCCCTTCCCTCACATCCCCAACATTTTCACACTGATGCCCAAATACCCGACACTTCTGGCAACCAATTGGTCTGTTGCAGTATTCCAAGTGCACCTCGAATGTCGGTTTGTGATCTGGCACCAGCTTCAAAGTCTCTGGGAACGATGAATCAATAGACATTTCAACACAGACCTTTGGAAACCCCATTCTTCTACCCAGCCTAGTCGATTGATCAAACCACAGAGGTCTACCTATCATACTAGCCAAACGAGTCAAGATGCTACCAGTCGCAAATTCAACAGGGAGATCTTGAAAGCATATCCAGATAGGAATGGTAAAATCACAATTGGCAGCTCCGATTCCAGGAGACCACTGCCGAAGAAAGAACATTTCATTATTGAAGTGCCACAGACCGCTAGTGAAGACCCAATCTGCAGCTGTCGCATTTGGCAATTGGCAAAGGAAGAGCTGCTCGCAGAACTTCGAAACCCTAACAATGCCCGAATTTCCCCATAACCTGTTCGGCCAACTCTGAAGCTGTTTCACAGAAGGAGTAGAATGGAGGAATTGACCTACAAGGCTATTCTTCCATCGAGCTTCACCTTCCTTCACTAGCTCTTCCGGGATCCTCCATCCGCCATCAATGAGCTCTGGTTCAATATAAACCAGGCAATTTGCTTCAGCAATGCCGAATAAATCTGCCCAAGACTGACCAATGGAGGACATCGCAAGCAGAAGAAGCTCAGACGAGAGGAGGAAGACAGCCGAAGAAGGATCCACGCACCGATCGGAGGCTCTCGCGACGGTGGGAGGACCGCCGGCGGACCGGAATCGCTAACGGCCTAGAGAGAGAAGCGAGAGAGAGAAAAATTCTGTGACGAATTTATTGCTCTGATAATTTATAAAAATGACAAGTATGTCCCTCCTCTAAATCAACAATTAAAATTTATCAATCCCTTCGACATGGAAAGTTAGTAATAAGAAACTTCCTATTGAGTGAAATTAGTGTTAACACCATACTATTAAATTATGTGTTAGTATCCTAATCCCAACTCGTCAGTCCAACCGCAATACAGAACACCAACCAAAAAATGTAGGCGGATTTGACAGTAGAGTACGGTTAAACAATAAATAACTATTTTCCATGTAAAGATGGGGTGCAAATCATTTTTTCTTATGACCGCAATACAGAATATCAACTAAAAATATGGTAACTGTGTTGTGTATATAATTTTCATTAGATATTGAGATGCAAACTATAAATTAGTAATTGTATCTAAATGAGAAAAAAAATGTCTTTACATAATTGGTTGATTAAGTAATGAAAGATTTTATACAAGTGCGAGAGATCTCCATAAGTAACACATTGGCGGGAGGTGTATAAATTGATGGAGTCTTTGCGAGTAATTTAGTATAAATATAAGTCAAATTGCCTAATTACATGTTAAAGAATTGTGTTTGTGAGTTAACCCACAACCTAAACCGCACTCATTCGTCACCCACTCAACCCAATCCAAAGTAGTGTGGGTGAATTGCGAATCACAATTGTACTATCTCTAAATAATATAAAGCACTTTCTCGGGGAAAGCTTCCCCGCAAACTTCGGAAGTATTTTTCTTTTCTCTTTTTTTTCACCTTTCCACAAAAACCATTTGTTCCAAGCCCGTCCACGTAAGCCTTCCTCAAACCAGTTGTCCATGTCAGCCCAACATAATAAAATCAGTTTATGAGAGAGGCTGATCCCCTCCTTTTCAGTTTCTGGCTTTCCCCCTCCACTCGAACCCATCAGTTTCCTTCGTCCGCCGTTCCACCTTCTAATAAAATCCCGAAATAACTATCACTGAGACGCGCGAATTGTTCTCCATAGACGCGGCGGTTGGCGGCACATCAACGGAATGCGGAAGGACTAGCTGGCGGTTATGAAGCGACAGAGGAGTAGCCAATGGATCAGCCTCTCTCATATTCAGCCGGTAATCCGGCAATGGATTACAGACGGCTCTCGATGCGTCTACACTCTACAGAGGCTGGGGTTTAAGGATCTGCATTTCTGAGAAATATAATCAGAGGATGGAGATATTCTCACAGAAAAGGGTTCCCGGCGAACCCTTTTTTGGTGGAAATACTCACCGAAATCAGAGGGTTCAATGTACAAAACAGAGGTCGCAGCAATGTTGCGGGGCGCCGGTTAATTGATCTACTACGTGGCCATAAGATTCAAAGAGAGCCTCTTTGACTTAGGTACAGCGGCGACAACCTGCTGGTGGTGGACGTCGCAGGGCTCAGATCATGAATTGCTATTTTTGAATTTTACGACACAAGGGATTCTGGTACAAAGCGGCAGGACACCATCATCCAGTCCTTCTTCATCGAACAACACCGCACAACCGGCGTAGTCGTAGATGGAAGGTACTATTCCGGCACAGGATCGACAATGTCGTTAACAAGACGGTGATTTTCTCCTCCGACATTGGGGTTCTGTTGTGAGGCCAAAGGAACATGCCCCGAACGCTCACACTTACAAAAATGAGTGCATCTTCGACGGGATTGGTCATGGTCAAAGTGAAAAACGGCTACAACTGCATTGCCGACTGCTTATAACAACTCGATCGAATTACAAGTGATGACGGTTGTGGGGTGCGGTGTTGTATAAACGGACTCTCATTCTGTTTATTTTAATGTTGTTTGTTCGTTAACTCTGGCTGGGTTTCACGAATTTGGAGTCAATCTCCGGTTGCCCATCTTTTTCTATGCTGCAGGGGGTTTACCATGTCAAGTGTGTCTTGGTAAAGTTCTTCATGAGGTGAGGCGTCGGATGTGGAATTGGTAAGGGTATGTGCTTTACTGTGGTACTTTTGGAAAGAGAGAAACAATTTCATCCATAATAATCATCTACTGCAGGACTGGGAAGTGTTTATGGAGGCTGCTGATCTTATACAGGACTACACGGAAGTGCAAGGAAAAGATAGAAGAGAAGGAAGTAGGCAGAGTCAAATGGATAGATGGAAGAAACCACCATTGGGTATTCTCAAGTTGAACACAGATGCAGGGCGTAATTCAAGAGGTGAAACTGGTATAGGCTATATCTTCATAGATTGGAATGATAAGGCTGTACAGGTAGCATAAAAACAAAAAATAACAGATGTGAAATGGCCTGTAGACATAGCAGAGGGGAGAGCCGTCCTTTCTGGCCTTGAGCTTACTTGCCAATATGGGCTTGACCCGTTAATGGTGGAACCTGTTTGCAAGAAAATCAGAGATATGCTCAAGAAAAGAGAAGATGCTAGAGAGTGGGGACATTTTGAGACTAAGTGAGCAGTTGGATGTGAGAGAGTGGAGATTTTCCTATAGACAAGCAAATATTAGCAACCATCTTTTTGCAGGTCGCTAAAACTGATTATTTGGTAGCTTCGTCCAACCTCTAAGCGTAGAATACATCCATGTTTATTTCTCTTTCTCTATTACCCCTTATCACCATCATATAGTACAACTCTTCTTTAAAAAATTAAAAGGTTTTTGTTTTTCCAGTTTAGATCTATGACTTGCAAATTTATTTATCACGACTTAACTTGCCACAACGTTTCATATATTTTAGAAATTTGTAGTAATGTTACACAACTTAATTTATGTGTTTGAACTAAACATTAGTCCAAACATAATAATTCGTATTATCATATATAATATATGCACACAAAAAAATTTGTGTTTTAAATAATTAATCAAATAAAAACTCACCCGGCCAAGGGCCGGGGACAAAGCTAGTTTCATTAATAAGTGGGAAGAACTTAGCGGCAACCCAGGGTGCAGCCAATAGCTGCTACCCCTCCACTTGTCCACCCATCATTGGTCCAAATATCATTTTCCTTCTAATTATTAAATAGGGCCAACTAATTATAGAGAGAAGTCTTTTTAATGTGTATAAAATTCACTTTAGCTCTTTTTTCCTTTTAGGTTTAGTTACTCCAAGTGAACATATCCTAATAACGGTCTATTTATTATTTAACAAGTGGTCTAAATTATAGGTGGAACATGACTACATGAGCCTCAAAGTTCTATCATAGTCCAGCACGAGGGAATTTGGATTCTACAATTTGTTTCAACAAATATGTAATCACACAATTGAAGTCAATTTTCTAATCTATCCTAATTAATTGCATTAAAAAAATATTAACATTAATTATATCTATCTTGATTAATTTTACAGGATACAATAATGAATTATCCTTTTGATGATCCACAACAGTGACAACAGTTGTTCTTCCACAAGTTTCTCAAGTCGAATTAAGTGTTATTGAGTTAGATCCATTTTCTTTATGTTTCAATACATTACTTCAGCGTTTAATGGGAATGTATCATTTATCCGAATGTTTATCCCTAAAAAAGAAGGACGGAACATATATAAGGCAGGGTTGTTTAGTAGAGTGGGAGGGGAAGTCAAATTAGTGGTAGATGTCCGTTAGTTTGACGGCTCCGTGACTTCTCTCCATAATTAGTTGGCCCTATTTAATAATTAGAAGGAAAATGATATTTGGACCAATGATGGGTGGACAAGTGGAGGGGTAGCAGCTATTGGCTGCACCCTGGGTTGCCGCTAAGTGTGGGTTGATGAGTTTAATATTAAAACCCACCCAACTCATTCATTACCCGCCCGTAAATCTAACTACTAGGATTATAGGATTGTTGAAAAATATCTAACTGGTAGGTAACTATCTCGGGTAAATAGCTTGGTAGCCTTCTTAACAAGTTTTTAAAATACGCGGGGATTTTGTCGGATCTACCAAAGCCGAGGGGATTTCTTCCTTCCACCTCTTCCGATTCACTTTCCCTCTCCCCCAAAACCAGAATGCGACAGAACCCAAATCACTACCAGACAAACCGGCCATGGCCGGCATCTCCAATGCATCCCTTCGCCTACTCCCCATTTCTCCCCCTTTTACCAACCCCTCCTCAAAACTCTCTTCTTCAATCTTCCCTTTCTCCCTCCCACCACCATGTGTCGCCTCCTCCATCTCCGACGACCACCACCACTCTGCCGCCTCTCCGATTCCTTCCCAAAACCCTCTTCCTCTTCTTCTACTCTCTAATTTCCCGTCCCTCCAAACCACCTGCTGCTCCTCCCATTTAAGAGACGCATTGAAAATCGAAGAAATACCCCTTCAGCAACAAAAACCCTAAAAAAATGGGTGCCGCTCAGGGGAAGCAGCACAATTCAATTTCACCGAACAAAGGGAAGGGGAAGGTGAAATTAGTTAATGGGTTCCCTCCCACGAGGCGAAAATTTGACGGGC